ATTTATTTTTCTTGGCCATGTTCATTATTATTGACATAAATATTGATAAATATTGTCTTGATGGCAATGATAATGATATTAATAGTGATAATGAGGATAATCATAATGATGAAAATAATGATAATATTCATAATGATGAAAATAATGATAATATTCATAATGATGATGGTAATAATAATAATAGTTATGATAATGATAATAATTATGATAATAATAATAATAATAATAATAATAATAATAATGATAATAATAATAATGATGATGGTGATGATGATAATGATAACGATAATACTACTAATAATAACTATATCGGCATAGTTATTATTATCATAAGATTGTTATTATTATCATTATGATTATAAATCTTATTATCATTATCATCATTATTATTATTATTATGATTATCATTATCATTATTATTATTATTATTATTATTATTATTATTATTATTATTGTTATTGTTACTATTAATAATAATATTATTCTTATGATTTCCATTATCACCTTTGTTATTATTATTATCATTATCATCATCAGTATTAACATTATTATTATTATTATTATCAATATCATTATTTTCATTATTACCATTATCATTATCATTATTATTATTGTTATTATTATTATAATTTTTATCTCCATTAGTATTGTTATCATTATCATTAGAATTATTATTAATGTGATAATTATCATTAATATTGTCATTATTCTTATAAATTTTATTACTATCTTTATCATCATAATTATCATTATTGTTGTTATTGTTATTTTTGTGATCATTGTCGTCATTCATATAGTCATTATTTTTACCATGATTGTTTTCATTATTTTTATTATTGTTATTATTATAATTATTATTATCATTATTGTTAATCCCATTAATGTTATAGTTACTATCATAACTATTATTATTATTGTAACAACATTATTTTTATAATTATCACTGCTGTTATTATCATCGTAACTATTGCCATGTCATTGTTTTTACTGTTATCATCGTCATTTTTTTATTCGTGTTGTTTTTTAGGCATATTACTTTTACTACTATAAAATACGAGATATTGTTACATATAATACGAGATGTTATAATTATTAGAAGCAATACGATAGTCGGAAGATGACGTAGTGTTAATAGAAGTATTAGTATACACGTTTTATATGTTATTTACTCATAACTACTGTGACAGCTGTTTCTCTTACTGCCATTGTTATTACGCCTGTTCTCTTCGTCTAATCCTCCACATTTTTTGTTCACATCTTTTTTATTATTATTTTCTTAATGGGACAGCTGTAGAAGAATAATAAGCTTAAAAGTATTCAGTTACATTCAAAAAATTAAATGCAAATTCCTAAACCATAGGCCTATAAACTAATTTATGCGTATCTGTATCTATGCCGTGTAGACATCGAAATTTTGGGTCGCTTGTATGCACTTTTTGTTGATGTTGTTGTTATCTCAAGTAATGTGCGCAAGGAATATTTCAGCGAAACCATTGCTGAAAATAGAAATGATTTCATCTGCACCAGCGTATATCCTCACAGTCATGAATTATACAGTTTGTAAAATTCCTGACAACTCAAAATTTCCAGACTCAATCACCGTTCACATTTTTTATCAGAAAAGTTTAGATAAAATAGATCTGGCAATGGTATGTTGCCAAGTCGCGTTGCTCGGCTTCCAAAGCTTAGTATTTGGCAAATGTATCTCTTGCGAAGGCAAACAAATTTTTTCTTGCTACTTTTTATTTTTCAGAGAGGCTTTTAACAGGGATGACATACGTATTGCCAACAACTTCATCTCTCCCTAATTCTAGCAAATTAGTTCTACCAAGACTGTTGACGGAAGTCAGGGCAAATTGGAGTCAAAATTTATTCCTGCCTAGTTCGCAGAAAAAAATCTGAGGAAGATTTTCTTTCCAGTAGTTTCTACATATTGTATTTGTTGTGTATTCATCATGGTGTTTTTTTATGTTTCTATAAGGGAGAAATCTTCAGGGGTTATTAGGAATGACCTTATATTGCTGCGAGCGGAAGAAGATTTGCGAGAAGAGATAACCATGAGAATTTGTACGAGATCACATGAAGACTGTCAGCAAATATGAGAAATGAGTTAACATATACTACACATACACACACACGAACACACACATACATATATATATATATATATATATATATATATATATATATATATATATATATATATATACATACATAGAAAGATAGAGAGAGAGAGAGAGAGAGAGAGATATCGTTAGATAGATAGATAGATATGTATATATATACACATATACATATGTATATATGTATTGATGGATGGATAGATGGATGTATATGTATATATCCATATCTCTCTCTCTGATGTAGCGTATCTGCTGGAGGATGAGCGATGCCGTGTATGAGCACGCCCAGCGGCTAGCAACACACATATTCGGTCCCTTAGGGAGGAAGGGTGGCCTGATCCTGGCTTGGTCGGAGCAGTTGGTCTCCTTGGGTAGAC